AAATGTTTAAAATAACTGCCGTTAACTTCTTGACAATAACCAATGCGGTTATTAAATTCTTCAAGAACATCTTGTATGACGTACGGGCCAATTTTTTCAATTTCTTCGGTGATTCTTTCTTTTAATTCGTCAATAGTATCCGGTCGATTTAAATACACTTGAGACTTTAAGTGGCCTCAGAGAAATTAATCAAGCGGCGTTAAATCGGGAGATCGAGGTGGCCAATCCATCTGTTAGGAAATACTTCATCCAAGTATAATCTCTCACTCCACGTGCAAAATGTGGTGGAGCACCATCTTGTTGGAACCAAACATTTATATCTGTTTCATCCGGATTGTTATTATCAGGATACAGAACTTGTAATTGAGGTACCAAAAAATTTGTTAAAAAATATAAATATCCTTCACCTGTCAGAGAGTCATCAAAAAAGTAAGGCCTTAGATTTTATTTTCAATAATAATCCAATGAGGATTTTCTCTGCTCCAATAACGAGAATTGTGTCGGTTGACAGTACCTACCATTTAAGTAAAACGTTGCTGCGTCCGAAAAAAGTATTTTTTGTAAAAACTGCACATCTGCCTGACATCTGTTCATTATTTGTACACAGAATTGTAGCCTTCGGTCTGGATCGTCCTCAGATAACTCATGTACCAACTGAATTTTATAGGGATGGTACTTTTCTTTGTGTAAAAAGCCAAAAAAATGTTTTAATTGTTTTGTTTGTTTTTAAGTTTTTTCGTATTCACACAAATTATTTATTATTGTTTATAAAGAGTATTTTATGAAAAACTAATTTAATTTATCGAAATAACCATAATTTTCAATTATTGTTAAAAAATATGGATAAATATTAACTTTAGGTATAGGGAATGCTTTATAAAATTGAAAGACTTGGAACAGATGATTTTACTGGTGATATAAAATATAGGATGTCCCATTTATATAAAACAAGAAAATCAAGGATCTAAGTCTTGAGTCTCCCTGTATACAAATAAACGGATAATAAAAATATAACTAAAAAAAAAATATAATACATCGTATTATAAAATACGTGTGGGTAAAAAAAAAATTGTTTCTACAGTGTGTAATTGGCTGCTGGACGTTGAATTATGTACGATTCTCTCACAAAAATGTCAATTCTTTGAAAAGTACCCTATATAACATAGACAAACCATATATTAGAAGAATGGAAAAAAGATGAGTAAACAGAATCTAACATAATATACTGGGGTAATCATTAAAAAAAAACATGTTTGGTTCGTACACGAGCTATGCAACACCCTGTATACCTCCTAATAATTTTAAAATGTTAACCTCAAACCTGTCCATAATTTTCCTAATACAGGCATGCATGTTTCCATAATCGACCACTGAACGCGCTCTTTTTTGATAAAAATGATCCGAATCCTGAAAACCCATGTGCCGACCTTCTATGGCCCGTAGCACAAAATCCTGACGGTAGATCTTTTGTGCCCATTACCTTTTTTGTTTAGGATATTGAGATCTACATTTTCCACCAAAAATTAAATCTTGGGACTGAAACCATTTTTCCCTATAAAAAGTGCGGGGTCCTTTAAATTTTTCAGTATTTTCGTACCTATTCAATGAATATCTATAGAAAAATGTTTCGAGGTAGCTGTATGTAGAAAATGTATATGTTTAGTTTATCCTTTAAACATTTATATAGAGGTGCTGCAATGGTTGTACAAAATAACCGAAAAAAGCCTATAATAACTAGATAAGAAAGTCATGTGTTGGACACATCAGATTTTTATTATGAGTAAAAGTCATACTTTTGTGACAATGTTATAAGTACATTTATTTTATTCTGAACAAACTTTTTTCTTCAAATGTCAGTAATTGTTTTTCACAAATATTAAAAATATCACCTTTACCATCAAAAGAGCTTGAGAGTAATAGTATAAAATTTAACGAGCGGTAATGCAGGTTATAACTCACGCATATGAAATTCGCAGCACGAGCCACAGGCGAGTGCTGTAATTCATCAAGTGAGTTATGACCATTACCGCAAGTTGAATACTATACTTTATCTACGAATATAATAATAAATACTAAGATACAAGTATAATTGACTAGATAATAAAAACATTTGAATCTTTGTAAAAGTTCTTTGTCGCCAGATATTTATCATTAGGAGCTTCATTTGTGAAATTTTTAAGTTGTTCTGGCGTAAATGTGTTTGCCTTTTTAGCTTTATGTTTCTCTGATTGACGTTTAATTTTGAATAATTATCTATATTAATTCCATTATTTATGTTGAGTATGCTTCTTAACAAGGAGTAGAAAGTCCATAGAGACGATGCTTTATATTTATTGCTAAGTTCAATAAAATGTGCCAAACGTACATTTTTTGTAAACGAGTTACACCAATCTTAAAAAGTTTAGTATACACCTTTATACTTGTTTTTTGATTTTTCTGGTAAAAAATTCTGTATTGCATTATTAGCTATCTCTCTTATTATTTCTGGATGTGTACATAATAACTCATCTTCACTATCTAAATTCATCTTTAATAATTTTAAAATATTTTAATTATTCATTCCTTTCTAGTTGTTAAAAAATGTTTCTAACATTTTACACTAATGGAACGTATTTATCGACTTTAAAATTTCCAAGAACTTACTGCGCACACTATTTAGATACCGAATTATCGTAGGAGCCCAGCGTGAGTTATAATAACTCACCATTTAAACTCACGCTATTTGTTTATTGATACTATTAATTGCTCAAAAGCAGTTAAATAATTGATATATAAATTAATAGTAGATAAGATACCTTTCCTCTTACCAATATATACCTTGTAAAAATAATATTTCTTCATTTCATTAACTATAAAAAAGTCAGGTTAACCTGGTTTAAAATTCACAATTTTACATCACTTTAAAAATTAGCATCATGAAATTATTATTAAAATATTAGGTTTTTTGACCTATGAAGAAAAACTAAATTTTGTGTTAGCTAGGAGCATCTAGTACTCTTTAGCCAGGAGCATCTAATACTCTTTAGCCAGGAGCCTTATTTAGGGTTTTCATTGATTTCTCTTGAAAGATCTGATTTTATTTATCTTGTTTTGCGTATAGTAAGTTGTAAACCATCAAATATATCACTTTTGTGAGAGCTTAATCATATAAAACAATTTCTGCCTTTCTCAGCCATTGCTAACTCTATTTTTTGGCTCACATTTCATTTAAATAATTAGGTTTCTGGTAGTTATTATTCTAAGAAGTAATATTTATTTAGTAATAGTTCAGGTTAGTAAGTATACTTACTATGTTTCAATTCAGAAATTTTATGTAGTAACCTATCTTTTTTATATAGAACATTTTTTTATATAGAACTTTTTTTTATAAAGCCGGCTACGGACGATAAGCGATAATATAATATATATTATAGCTCACATATTATAAAAATATCGCTTTGCATTAAAAAGTGCAAGTCGCCGCGCATTGATGCTATAATATATATCTATATCCCATCATGAAATTCATAAAAATTAGTTCAGTCCATTCGAAAATAATTTGTAAATTTTTCGTCACTTAATTCGTTAAAAAGTGTTGTTTCTTTTTGGTTACTAACCCTAATTGCTAATAATAATACATTGTCGCTTTCAGCATCTGATTTATCTTCTGATGAGCTATCAATGGTATCTAGCAATAACAAATTTTTCTCCATCGCCATTTTTGCAACTACACTATATAGTTCACTGGATCAGCCTATTATATTGAAAAATAAAAAATATATATATTCTCGTCCACTGCAGTAATAATATAATATAATATTATAGCTCATTGCCGAGCTATACTATATATTATATTATCGCTTATCGTCCGTAGCCGGCTTTAACCATTTTTTTTATAAATATTTGACGTCTAAACACGTTATCTGGTGACGTATTTATCACGTCGCTGTATGACGTCTTTGATCTGTGACATATTGCCGTCATAATCACGTCACCAGCACTTCGTAAATTGGTGATTTCGACGTAAAATGTGACGTGTATTTCACGTGAAAATCACGTGTCTGTGATAGCTGGGATTCCACCTAGATAGATATGTTGAGGAATATGGGTATAAAATATTAAGAACTCCTCCATATCACTGCCAGTATAATGCGATAGAGATGGTGTGGTCATAGTGCAAACGGTTTTTTGACGAAAAAATTTTTAACAACAAAGAGCTTTGAATAATGTTACCGATACTTAGTGGGACAATTATATAAGACATACTAAAAACAATTGTTTCCGATTGGGAAAAATGCAAGCAATTAGACGTTTATGATCTAGAACCAATTATTATTAATTTAGGAACAACGTCAAGTGCAATGAGTCTGAATCAGAGTCCAATTGAGAAGACAATGATATTCATTAATAAAATTTATATTATTTTCTGTGCCTCTTGTTATAATATATTTTTTTGGCAAAGAATCTGTTTCACGAATTTGCACTTGTTTTGGATTATCTTTAAAAACTCTAAAAACCAATGTTCAGCTTGGAAATTTATTTATAAAGTACGAAAGTAAATTGTTCTAGTATTTGTAGATAAAATATAAAACGTAATCCTAATTTTTTCGTGTAAATGCAACAAAACAGAAATAAGAAGACACGTGCAAACTGTAACTAAAAATGCGATACTCTTTTGTCAGAGGACTTGTGGTATTTCTATCACTTTGCCTACTAAATCCGTTAGAATTCAGATCCAGTAAAAAGTGCACTTTATCTACTGAGTGTAGAAATATCCCCTTTCTACACTTAGGAAAACTAAATATTTTATAATTTGTTCCTTTTGAGCCGGAAGTGCTTTTAACCTGACCTGAAACCCGAAATAATTTGAAGAAAATTGCCTTTTTATAACCTCTTCATTTAAATAGTCAGGTGATATTGAACTTAACAACATGGGATTATTCAATATAAACGTATTTGCAAAGATCAAAATAAAAAGAACACCAAAAATAATTTCAAAAATAAAAAAAAAACATATTTACAGGCTGTTCCACTTTCAGTATATTCATTTTGAAACACTCAATCCAAAACTGTTCACGTCTTAATCATAAACTAAGTACAAAACTATTAAAAAAAAAACGAAACCTGGTTTAATATAAAATGTATTCTCATCGAAAAGATAAGATTTGATAAGGCCTCATATGTTATTTTTAATCGCAAAAGCAGGAAAACCACAGATAATTGGCGGGGAATTAATATTGCCGGCAGTCAAGAAGATAATTAACTGTTCTTCATCATAAAATACCGACAGATAACGTCAGAAAATTTTATAAAAAAAATAGCCTATTTATAAAAGTTCCTATATGACATGGCTGTAGGTTCCTGTTTTGGAAGGACCCTATTAAATAAAAAGGACTTGGTTGAGTAAATGTATATATAATTTTAAGTGAAGAAAATCAAGGTATACATAAGTCGCGACGACAGTAAAAATATTATTGCAAAACGCCTAATGTCGCCACATAGCCTTCCCTCCCAAAGAAAAATTAAATCCATTAAAAATAATGTACATTAACCATAACTTAATGGGTTTAATACAAAAGAAACCTTTTTAACTGGTTTCGAAATAACTTTGTGAACATCTTGTTCTGCTAATAAAAAGGCTGACTTTAACCTATCTATATTTGTTGCGCTTGTACACCTACCAGAGGTGGACAGAGAACGTCAAATAATGAGGGAAAAGACTTTAGGAGAACTTATTTATTTGATACAAAAATATATAGATAATTCACAAAATTATAACGTCAATTCAATTATATATAAGTCATAACTTTTTTAAACCAAGGTATTTTGTTTTTGACTTATGATTTTTTTAAGTTCCAACCCCTCTTAAACCCCCCCCCCCCATTTTTAATCAGATTTTTTTCAAATTCAATAGATTTCGTCCCCTTATAGAGCTTAATTTTTCCTGATAATTTTAAGTTCATATTGTTTTTCTTTTAGATTTATAATTTTTTAAAAGTTCAACCCCACTTAACCCCCTACTTTTGATCAGATTTTTTTTTAATTCAATTGGTTTCGTTTCTTTATAAAGCTTGGCTTTTCCTAAAAATTTCAAATTGATATGTTTCATTTTTGATTTAAGATTTTTTTTAGGTTTAAACCCCCCATGTTTATTCATATTTTTTTAAAAAATCAATAGGCTTTATCCCTTTATAAAGGTTGAAATTTCCTGAAAATTTCAAGTAGATAATGTATTTTGTTTTTGATTTATGATTTTTTAAAATTTTAACCTCCCTTAAACTCCCTCATTTTTAATCAGATTTTTTCAAAATCAACACGTTTCGTCCCCTTAAAGAGCTTCATTTTTCCTGAAAATTTCAAGTTGATATTGTCGGTCGAATATAGTAACATTCTACATATGCAGAAGGAAACAACCTATATAATTAATTAAAACATATGAAAGTAATTTTCACAAATTCTCACCAAAAAAAGCGATTTGTCAAAAAAGGGGTTTTGAGAGAAAACCCGTTTTAAATATTTCAATATGGCATATTTTTATTTATTATATTTCGACATGTTCGTCTTTTTTCAGATGGAGCCAACAAAGACCTGGCAGAAAGTGATCAGTAATCGGTGTCCGATCCTTTTGAACCTACTGATGATTCAGATGATCCAGAGTACATACCGGAACACGATACCGTTACACTAGGACAAAAATAATTAACGGTCAAACCATGCTTAATTTTCTAACTAACAATAGCTTTGAAAGTATTCAAAGAACAATAGTAAAAGAAGAAGGAAAATGACACAAAAGTACAAAATTCTAAAGGATACTCCAGATCCTGATAATAGTACCACATCAGAGACACAAAGTAGCACCAGCACCACAACGGTTTATAGTTCTACGAATAAAAATATGAACCCACTTTTTGATAGAAATTTTTTTCGCTTTGTGGAACAAAAAGACAATAAAGTTATAGCTCAATGTATAATTTGTTTACCCAGGAAAAAACGTTTGCAAGGTGTCTCAAATTCAAACGCAAATTTTGTAAAACATTTAAAAAAACAACATGAGGTATGAGGTGGCATTCCAAGACTACTACTAAAAAAAATACAGGTCAAAAAAGTGGTCAAATCAAATGACCCATTTCAAACAAGTAATTCAACTCAATTGGACATAGCTCAATCTTTTCAAAGATCCAAAAAAATAACACAAGAACAGTTTGACCAACGAATTATTAATTTTATTGTTGACACAATGTCGGCTGTATCGTTTGTTGATCGTCCAAGTTTTAGAGGATTATTTCAAGGAATGAACGTAAATGTTATGAGAAGAAAAACTGCAATAAAAATAGTTTCAGAATTTTGGTTAAAAAAAAACAAGAGGATTTAAAAGGAGAATTTCAAAATATTAGTTCTTTTTGCACTACTGCAGATATTTGGTCTTCCAAAACGTGCAGTTTTTTGGGTGTAATGTGTCACTGGATAGGAGATGATTTAGAACGAAAGTCAGCAGCTGTTGCTTGTAGAAGGTTTTCAGGACGTCATACATATGACAGAATAGTGTCACGTCCAGTAAAATATTAAAAAACCATTACTAAAATACATTAAAATAATATTGTATACATTTCATAACAAAAACATAGCCGTTGAACTATTAATACGACCTGCATTAATTGTGTCGAATTAAAGAAATAGAAACTTCAGCAAATAGTTAATAGGTATAAATTCGACACTGATTACTGTTACGACAGTTCTCCTTTTGCTGTACTGGGAGATATCTAAAGTACCTTTTATACCATTATACCTTTTAGTTTTGGAGTAAGCGTCGTGACGTGCCACTCACGGGGAATGTTTTGGTAAGGCTCTTTTATATTGTATATTATTATTATCTATTTTGAATATTAATCATTTATTTATTGATGAATAAAATTGTTATGTTTCAACTCGACTTTTTATTTCATAAAGAAAGGTAGTCCGAATTAATAATATTAAATCATTTTTTCGACCCTTAGAAAAGGGTGTGGTAACAATAGCAGTAATAGTAGGTAATATTCACATGTCTTTTGGTTTAGATGATCGGAAACTGGTGGCAACAGTTACAAATAATTTAAAATATTTGGTATAAACAGTATATATTAAGGGGTTATTTACTTTTAGGAAAACAGAGGAAGATGCAAATTTAGAAGAACAAGAAGAAGGTATAGAAGATATTTTATTTTTGCCAGCACCAATAGATCCTGACGAAAATATATCATCATTCCTTGCCTTACTATACCATTTGCACTGCGCATCACATACTTTAAATTTAATTGCTTCTGCAAATATTATAAATAAAATAAAAACGCTTCAATAAAATCTCGACATACAAACACTATATCAAAGTGTAATGTAATACGGAAAAAAGCTGGAAGACCTAAATCAGCCGATAATTTTTATAAGTAGATAATACAGGATGTGATAGAGCTAGAGCATTTAACGAAAAACTCGGTACCTACACCTACATAAAATATTGTAGAAAGTCTTGAAACGAATTCAGTTTTGCTCGTATTCTAATCATAGCTCTTTTTAAATCCCGTTCTACGATGTAGAAATGATTCTACTAACTCTGATTTGAATGAATGACTGAGTACTTTCTGATGTTTATATCCTATACAGCTTATCACTTTACTTATAAATTAATTCTATTTTTGTAAATTTAGTAGGTTTATTTTAGTTAAATTAAAACCTCACAAAAAACATTTTACCTGCAGTTTTTGCAGTATTACTTTACTAAAAAACTTCGTGATATGAATATAGATGATATTTAATCCTAGCCAATTCTTATTTTTTAGCTATCACGTACCACTATATACTTATACCTTATTTTAGATTATTTTCTAAGCATATGACAACTTTTTTTCGTTGTTTATCAATCAGAATAATAACAAAAGGATTTTATAAGTTAAAAGGTTGGCGAATGTTAGATTGAATAACAGCTAAATTACCATGATAGGGTTAACAGCCAGAGTTTATTTATTTTTTTTTTTTTTATTAAATACACTGCTCTACAGGCTAAATGCCTAGTTATAGAGCAGGAAAAAAAATTGTAATTACAAAAGTAAATATAAATATAACATATTGCACAATAAGACATAATTTGGATATAACATAAATTACGCAACATAACAAAAATTACACAATATAACAAAAATTACATAATATGACAAAAATTAAATAAATTAATGACTATACACAAGCAAATAGTACCGAAACAGCTTTACAATTTTTTGAGCTGCGGCAGCTTACAAGAAAATAAATCAATTCTACCTTGCAGGTTGTTTTTTAATAAATTTGTCCGAGATAGCGGGAGATAAAACATTAAGTTGTTTCGAGATTCAATTCTTGGCACTTTAAATACAAGTTGTTCTAATAACTCGGAACAATCAATTTGGTAGTTAATAAGTTTGTAGAGGAATATTAACGACTGATTTTTTCATCTACATTCTAAGCTTTGCATTTGAAATCTATTTAAAAGTAACGTGTGATTTATCCCAATTGGTGGATATGTTCCGTCTATCTTAAATGTCAAGAATTTTAGATATCGTCTTTGAACGTTTTCAAGAGCGCATAATATGAATATCATAAAATTAGTCCAGGGAAGTTAGGAAAAATAGCGGAACTTTGCTCATACACCAGATATCGAGATGCAGTTTTCTGCATTGTGTTCAGGAAGGTCCAAGGAAAAAAGTTTACATGGTCTGGTTTGGCGCGTTTTTGGAAAAATGCCTTCTGGGCCGGAAAATTCATTTTCCAATTGCATCATAACTTGCACCATTATGGGAACGACTGGAAACTCTGAAAAATCGCTCAAAATTCATTATTCGGGGGTTTTCGGGGCTGCCGAACTCGATTCTGGTATTAGAATTACCCGGGGGTGCACGGGGGTGGCTCTGAGGGGGTGCGCGGCGGGTGAATTGGGGGAGAAATGGCAGCGTGCATAAAAGTCGCTCAAAACTCGTTACTCGGGGCGTTTTCGGGGATGCCGAATTCAATTCTGGCATTAGACTTCCCCGGGGGTATGAATAATAAAAATTTAGATTGAATTTTAGATAAATATATATGTGGCTTCCCCCAAACAATATTGAACATTCTCGAACATTCTTGAAATAGACATTTTG